CTGTTAAAGTTGCACAGATCTCAGGTGATTAAATAGAGGTAAAGAGCTTCACGACAGAGACCCCTTCCTTCTATATTGTTTCCCTGCTCTATGTTACTTCTGAGTGGAGGAATTAGGAAAAAACTTGGGAAGTACAAACTTGCAGAATTTCCACTGTCAGCATGATTTAGTCCTGTGCATGGGAGCATTAGACCTTGATGAAGTTGATCTGTATGAACAGCATGTGATCTACCATGCAAACATATAGCATGAATAAACACTCTTACATAGCTTTGGCTTCATGTTTAATTTTTATTTTTCCAGTGGTCAGATTGGTGTACTCTATCAGTGCCATTAGACTAGCTGGCATGAGATTTGGCTCTGTACTATTTCAGGCAAATATTAACTTCCGGATATTCTCCTAGACAAATTCAGAAAATGTGTGGAGGCAAAGATAGAGGATCATGCTCCACTTCCATCACTACCATCTTCCAGGCAGACAGTGATAGGCATACTTCACCAAAACTAAGCCTTACTCAGTCCTTATCAGCTGGGGCTGTTGTTATTATTGAGTCATAAATTATGCAACTCACTTTATATCTATACATAGAAAAATAGTTTTATAATGCTATGACATTTTAGTGTAAAGAATTCTTCCCATTAAAAATATTGATATTCAGTTTTATTTTGCCATGTAAGACACGGCAGCCACAGTAGATCTGACAAGTGCCAGACAAGTGGCCACATTTGTTATTGATACTTGACCCTATGTGTGGAGATCTTCTGTTATGCACACAGGTGTACATACAGCCCATACAAGTTGCTTTCAGAATAATTAGGTTGAAACTTCTTGGATATAAATTATTAAGCTGGTAAGTTTTTGTGGTGAGAGAGGCCCAGTCTTTGTGAAGAAGCACTGATGTTAAAATGCTACAGTAACATTGAATACCAGGCAGGGTTTTGAAGTTATTATGATCCTATTTTAAATGGTTTGGGAAAAACTAATCCTATTTTAAAAATCTTAAACTACTTTTCTCATGGCCAAGACTCTTCATAAACACACATTTTTGTGGCATCTGATTCCTGTTGAACAAGAAGAAGAACCTACCAATGTTATGCAGAAACACGCACAACCCAGATAAAACACATTGGTTAGAGAAATGCAAAACAAAAGGTCTTTGATTCTTAGTAGTTTTCTTTGGAAATATGTCATGCATCAAACTAACATAATGCCTCTGCTTTTAGACTCAAATACAATGAAATTGAAAATTGAGGAATCTGGCCCTTATTCCCTCCTAATTACTTCCACTTGACTCACTTAATCTTGGGTGATTATTCAATCATATCTGAAATGAGAAAATGGCAGGAGTAGAATTTCCATCTCTTGTTCTGAGAGCTTATAAACATTAGCAGAACTGTCACGGGGGGTTGGGGTGGGGAACAAATGTAAATCGCTGTTGACAGTGCCTTGTTTTTATATATTAAAAGAAATCCCCATATTGTGATGGAAGCAGCTCAAGTTTCTAAGTACAGAGCTTGTCAAGTCTGCTGGGTGATTTAATTATTAAAGTTGAAAATCTATCATTTGGAACAAATATTTCATAAAGGAAGGTTGTGCACCAGCTCAGCAGCTGGGTTGTTTACTTGCACCTGGGCCAGCCATGAATTCAGGCCAAGAAATGGCACACCGGAAACCTCTATGTTTAGTGTGTTAAGAATGTCTGTCATTAATTTCACCACTCAGCAAGATAACTTGCTACAGACCGTACCTTTGCCTCTCTGCTCAAGGGTAGAATGATTGGCATGTTTTAAGTCACAATGAAATTGCACTGATGACTAGCTGGATGCTCATATGAGATGGACTCTGTCACAGCCAGGAATACAGTATATTTGATTTGCAAGTTTGAAGTGAGACTTATTACATAGTCAAATCAAAATCCAGTTATTTCAGAAACTACCTGAAGAATGGATGATATCTCTATAACCCAGCCTGAGTAAGGGGCACATGTAAATATGCTCTCACAGAAGCAAAGCAGAAATTAGATTGTCAACATAGAGCTGGTCAGCATTTTTTCTTAACTTTTTTTCTATGAAAATAGGCTGGTTGACAAAAAACAGAAATTTTCATGAGAGAATTTCTGTTTTTATCAACATTTGGGGGGTTTTAATCAGGAAAAAATGACTCCAAAAACCAATTTTAGTTTTTGACAATGTAAACCAAAAAATTACAGTTTTCAGGCTTTCTATGAGAACCTGAAAAATTCTGTGGAAATTTTTGACTACTTTTTTTAAAATGTTTGCAAGAAATAAAATACATCTTTTTGACCAGCTGAAACTATGATGCTGAGAGTCACCATCTCTTTTGCTCCAGGGAGGATATAGCTTGTACCTGCTCTTTTACTGGCACAGATAACTTCCCCCTTCTGCAATGGTTCCGGTGCACTGCCTGATGCATTAGTGGGGTGGAGACAAGGCTGCCCAGGCATTCTTGCCCGTTTCCTAGCCACCTTTGCAGGAAGGAAAATAGCAGACCTGTGGCAGCTGTTTCTCTTTTCCCCTCACCCCCCACAGTGTAGGCTACATGGAGAAGAAAGGGTGCCCCTAACACCTTTATTCCCTTGCAAGGGTGTGCAGTATGTCTCATGACTGACCTTTTTATAGTTTTGTTGTGCAACTGTGCAACTGACTGCAGAATCCACCTCTTTCTCCAGAATCTAAGCTTTCATTTGTTTTTAGTCCTCATAGTTGTGAAGAAACCCTTCCAAATGTGAGCTGAATGTAATGAATGCAGTGTGGTCTTTCTGATGGATAATTACATGGGTTCAGAACCCTCTGCAGACAGACAATCAGAGCACAGCTTTCTTCCAGAGTTTTTTATAAGAATTATTCCTGATCGCTGGGCAGGTCAGAAAATTTTGTTTTAGCACTGATTGTCCTGAGGGAATCATTCCCAGTGCCAGATAGAAAACACATGTCACAAACAAAGCAAAATAGAGAGAAATGTATGTAATGTACTTTGTGTATATTTGGTTGACATTTCTGTTTAACATGCATGTCTAATGTGTAAATACTCAAACTACACTTCTCTTAGTTCTGTTAACTACTTTTCCCTTAATTGTACCTGCCTGTGGTTCCTAAAGAAAAAGGTGATCAGTTCCATGCTATGAAGTAAAAAGGACCAATTAATTGCAAACAAGCAATTTTACACAGGAACCTCTGGAAATCTTCACTCTGTGTAAACATTGGTTTGAAATCTTTCTTGAAAAGGATTGTTGTCTTTGTTTTATTATTATTTTTATTTTATATTATTACGATGATGAATCACGTTTGATAGAAATTAGCACCACTTCTGCTTCTTATGTTAAGAAAAATATAGATGAAAAGAATTTGAGTATGTTTGGCCCCAGGAGTACACATGCACTTAATTTCATAAAAGGCCATATTACTGCTGGTAGCAGTAATGGCATAAGAACTAGTAAGTAATAGAAAGCAGACAGGGGTTCCAGGCTACAAGTGAAAAAACATCTGGGCCCTTGAGCAGATTGTAAATATGGGCGATAAATGAAAACTGATTTCCAGAACTCATATTAAACTTGATTTTTTTTCTTTGAAATTTTCTATGCTTTGGGCTTTAGATAAACTCCAGAAAAACATACATACATACATACCTTACAAAGATCTTTTACCATTAGGAATATTAAGCACCACTGTTGCATAACTTTTTTGTTTCAGAGAGGAAAATAATGTACAGTATACATGGGCCGAGCAAATGGTTTTAACTAATCACAGTCCTCCTCATTTATGATTTCAATGTTATTTGTCTCTGTTATAGTTAATATAGTCACACTGCTTTGAATATATGGGCCTGATTCTCCACTCCATTACCCCAGTTTTACACCGTTGAAAATCCAGTGAAGTCAATAAGTCATGCCAATGTAAAGCAGGAGTCATGCTGCTTAAAGCTGGTCTAACAGAGCGGGGAATGATTCAATGTGTTTTTAAGGCTTTGAGACAATGAAGCTCATCCTTGAAGAGCTGGGGAAACCCTAGACTTATTGCATGAAGCCACCAACAGATCAATCCCAGCACGACATTGCCTGACCTGCAACATGATGAAATCACAAATTAATATCAGCATCATGCACTGTGACTATTTTGTGGCTCTCCATAAGTCCATTCAACACTGTTGCCTCTTTCCCTGGTTCCCCATTCCTGAATGTGGGAGGAATAGGGATGTTTCTCTCTTCCTCTGTTGCTTCTCTTCTCCTTATCTTCCTCCGCTGGATTGTTGGAGGAATTGGGTTAGATCCTGGATTTCTATAGCCCACTTACTTAGCACTCTCTGTATGGCCTCTCATGAGACCACGCAAAGTGAAAGGTGCTTCCAATTAGACCCATAGGGCCTCATTCTCATTTACATTAAGGCCATTTTACAGCTTCAGCTCTGTAAATATAACTCTTTATGTCCACTTTATATTGCCAAAGTGGTCTTAGTGTAAATGAGAATCAGGCCCATAAACTCCAGATGAGCTGTATATAAGGGTAACAAAACCTTACATGTGTCTTTAGAGCTACAGGTTGCGATCACTATTTTAAGACATCTTACAAATGTTTATACTGTACACATCACTTCCCTGCTCATAAAGGAAATGTTGGTCCCATTTGATAGTTTCTCTAATCCCATTTGGCAGCAGTCAAGCCAGTATTTCAATTCTGTGGAGCACTGTGCAAAGAAGAGAGCATCTTTTGTGAATTTCTTCTGCTCGCCCCTCCCCCGCTCCATCCCCCTCACTTTGTTCTTAAAATATTTCCTTCTGTGGGCCATCAGGATGCTTTGTGTCCCATATTTTGAGAACCACTGCAGTAATGGAACAGTCATTTCTCAGGATTGTATATAGAAGAATCTTTCTCTCTCAGTTTCCTCCTCCAAGCCCTCAGCCTTTCTTCATTATCACTGCCCAATAGCTTGGTGATCATTTTCCTGTGATGATGGTTTTTCCTTCTTATCTCTTGTGCTTCAGTTGCGATCAAGCTCAGAGCTTGACCAGGACATCCTCAACGATTGCCTCACTATTCAGCCTCTCCAACCAGCCCCTTCACCACATGATGCTGCAGACAATACCATGGGACGATCGCCAGGGCCTGTTCATGACATCTACACAGGTATAGTAAAAAGACAGGAAATGATCCCAGAACATTTAAAGTTAAGTATGCTTGATGTATACTTCTGGGATTTTTAATGTGTGGAAAACTCTCTAAAATCCACCTCTTTTGCTTCCTAAACTGCTCCTGAGAAGAACAGAACAATGTACAGTATATTAGAAAGGTATGTCTCTATCTGATATTTAAGTCTTTTTTAGCAGATCTCATTTTGCCCATGAAAAGACATACCACAGTAAGGAATATGTTTGCTCTATGGGAATTGGACTCCTGCCAGAGGTTCAATTCACCCATTCCTTCTATGCTCCTTAAGTTCATTAAATTCGATTTAGAACTGAAAGGGAATGTTTCCCTCTTTGCTATTCATAGGCTACATATCATTTTTCTAATAAAGGTATATAAATTAGGTTAAATGTGGCATTTTGTTAGAAGATATAATAAACCCTGTCCTATAGATAAATATAAATCCACCAATAAACATATCTATATTGTTTACATAACAAGCCCTTTTTATAGTTTCAATTAAGTGTTTGGGAATTTCACTCTCAAATAATGGCTGATGTTTATTTGCAGTGGTATAGCTGTTCAAATTTAAGCAAATATTGAAATATTAAGAAAATAAAAGTGACAATATTTTCCAAAGTTCAAGATCATCTGTAACGTGCAGTGGATGACATTTCAGCATTTAGTATGAAATATCTAGATAACTGAAAAGACACCTATTTTTCAGTATTCGCTATTATTCTAGCGGCTAGAATAATGTTGCGTCTCCCAACAGTCTTCATTCTCACTTAGCTGAGAGTCTAATTGAAAACCACATTGGCAAGTGAAAGAGTTAGTGAATCTTACAGTGAGGAGGATAACAAAATAAAGTGGCTATTTTAAATAATGTTCTCCTCCTCATTGTAAAATTCAGCTAACTCTTTCACTTGCCAATGAGGTTTTCAATTAGACTCTCAGCTAAGTAAGAATGAAAACTGTTTTATATATGTGTGTGTGTACACACACACACTATATAGTAGTTTCATTTTGCTGTAAGACATGCCAGTTCTCAATTTGTTTTTCCCAAGGCTGTCGTTGAACTATATAGTACTTTTAATGTCATTTTTCTCATTTGTGTTTGATGTGTAATGTCATAATTGAGATTTACACAAAGAAAAGTCAGGAAATTGAAAGTTGTGGTTCCCACAGTGACTACAACTCAGGCCCTTTTCATATGAGAACTGTTTTGTCTTACTTCATATGACATTAATTTTTAATGCCTTAATCCATGTAGTCTATTCAATCTCGTTCAATCTGAGTGTTGAGGGAAATGTCAAAATTCAAAGTTACATTTGTGTACATGGAATCTCTATCATAATTACTTTACTAACATAATTTTGTGTACATTTGATTCTCTTTTATTGCCCTCTGAGGAGGGGATGGATATTGAAGAAGTTTGAATAAATCACTTGATCTGCTGGACCTTCATCCATCTGAATACAAACTTAAACTTTTTTCAGGAAAGAAAAGGTTTGGTTATTTCCCCCAGCCCAAAAAATTATCTTTCATTGGTGACTTACTGACTTGGGGCCAGACAGTGCCAGAGTTCCAGAAGAGCTCAGCACGTTCTCACAAAAATGTCTCAGTGAGAGCTGCTGAGATTTTTACAAATCTGGCTTATAGTGTGCTGTTGAACTTTTCAGTTCTAGGTTGCGGATTCAAATCCAGCGCAGGCTGGGAAGGACCAGAAGTTTCTGCTGTCCAGTGTCGTAGGCCAAATGAATTAGTGAGCTCAGTCCAGTTCTTAGTCAACAGTCGTCCACTTTTAAGGTTGCGGGACTCAGCCCTGCGGCGCCTCCTGCTGGTTGTCTGTGGGAATTAGCTCGTCCCAGCTCCGGAGCGCCCTCTGCAGGCCGGTGAGCCGCCTTCCCTCACTCTACTCCCAGGACCCGGTGCCCCGTTATCTGGGGTAACCTGGCAGTAACCCCACAGTTCTGGGTCTCCCCCTCCCAGGGGAACCCTCACCCACTACCCTACTTTGCCTTAGTCTTGGCTACTGCCAGTCATCACTTAGCCCCCGTTCACTGGGGCAGACTGCAGTGTATCAGCCACTCATCACAGGCAAAGGGGTTCAGATCTGCTGCCTCTGCCTACCCGTGGGCTGCCCCTTTGCAACCCCAGTACCCAGTTGACCTTACCCTAGGCCTGCAGCCTGGGGGGTTTCCAGGCCGGAGCTCCCCAGCTCCTCTTGCCTTCCCCCAACCCTACTCCACCTTAGGTACCCAGGTACGCTCCCTAGCAGCCAGGCCCTTCTCCTTCTAAAGGCAGAGAGAGAGTGTTTGCTTGAGCTCCAGGCTCAAGCCTTTATAGGGCCAGCTGGGCCCTGATTGGGGCATGGCCCCAGCTGAGCGTGCTTCCCACTCAGCCTGGGCTGTTCCCCCTGCCACAGCCCTCTCGAAGGGCTGGTTTAAGCCCTTCTGGGCAGGAGCGGGTGACCACCCCGCTACACCACTCTATAAATGACACAATTTAGCACTCTCTTTGTCAGTCTCAGCAGAGAGATCAAGGACCAAATAGTCATGGAAACTGAACTCCCATCACCCTTGCAACTGGTGTTTTAGGATCCTAGTGACACAGAGTAGAGCTAGTAGTTTCCCTCCCATGCTTTACTAGTGGATAAATAGATGGCCTCTGACTCCAGCATCTTTCATTAGATTTTTTTCCTCATTTTTGCATGGTCCTATAGGGAGCAAAAGTGACAATATACTGTGAGAATCAATATTTCCAGACTTATTCAAATCAAGAAATACTGGAAATCTCATTAATTTCTAGCTCAGTTTTGTAGACTCAGGAAGTTTGGATGAGGTTTGCATAAGCATCCAAACTTTTGTACTTTTATCCATATTGAATAATCAGTTTACTTTCCATTTAAGTTCCAGTAATACATTTGTTGTATGCTGAAACACAAGTTTGAAATGCAACTGGGCCACTATGGCCTGATCCAAAGGCCACTGATATCAATAGACTTTAGAGAAAGCCCCAGTGCAGAAACTGGAAGCTCAGGAGTAAAGCTGCTACGTAAGAAACGTATTGTTGCCAAATCTCGTGATTTTATCAAGGGGTTTTTGCTATTCAGAGTGGGGTTTTTAGCTTTTTATGATCCTCTGCTGCATTTTCATCAAGACAATGCGTGTTTCCAATACGACTGAATCCAGGCTGCCGGGAGGCAATATGGCCACCCCCTCTACTCTGTCACTGGGAAACTGTGAGGGGGATAAAGGAATACATTAGAAGCAAGAGAAAGACCAAGGACAAGGTATGTCCATTACTCAATGAGGGGGGGGAAACAATAACAGAAAAATGTGGAAATGGCAGAAGTGCTAAATGACTTTTTTGTTCCAGTTTTAACCAAAAAGTTTAGTAGCAATTGGATATATCACTTCATGAATGCCAGTGAAAATGAGGTAGGATCTGAGGCTAAAATAGGAGAATAACAAGTTAAAAATTACTCAGACAAGTTAGATGTCCTCAAGTCACCAGGGCCAATTAAATACATCCGAGAATACTCAAGGAGCTGAATGAGGAGATAGCTGAGCCATTACCAATTATCTTTGAAAAGTCATGAAAGACAGGTGAGATTCCAGAGGACTGGAAAAGGGAAAATATACTTCCCATCTATAAGAAGGGGAATAAGGACAACCTGGGAACTACAGACCAGTCAGCTTAACTTCAGTACCTGAAAAAATTATGGAGCAAATAATTAAGTAATCAATTTGAAGACACCTAGAAGATAATAAGATAAGTAACAGTCTTCACGGATTTGTCAAGAACAAATAGTATAAAACCAACCTAATAGCTTTCTTTGACAGTGTGATAAGCCTTGTGGATGGGGGGAAGTGGTAGATGTGGGAGATCTTGACTTTAGTAAGGCTTTTGATACTGTTTCACATGACCTACTCATAAACAAGCTAAGGAAATATAAACTTGATGGAGCTACTATAAGGTGGGTGCATAACTGGTTGGAAAACCATTCCCAGAGAGTAGTTATCAGTGGTTCACAGGCAAGCTGAAGGGCATATCAAGTGGGGTCCCGCAGGGATCAGTCCTAGGTCTAACTCTGTTCAATATCTTCATCAGTGATTTAGATAATGGCATAGAGAATACACTTATAAAGTTTGCAGATGATACCATGTTGGGAGGGGTTTCAAGTGCTTTGCAGGATAGGATTAAAATTCAAAATAATCTGGACAAACTGGAGAAATGGTCTGAAGTAAATAGGATGAAATTCAACAAAGATGAATGTTAAGTACCCCACTTAGGAAGGAACAATCAGTTGCACACATACAAAATGGGAAATGACTGCCTTGGAAGGAGTACTGCAGAAAGGTATCTGGGGGTCATAGTAGATCACAAGCTAAATATGAATCAACAGTATAATACTTTTGCAAAAAAAGCAAACATCATTCTAGGATGTATTAGCAGAAGTGTTGTAAGCAAGACACAAGAAGTAAATCTTCCACTCTGCACTGATTAGGCCTCAACTGGAATATTGTGTCCAATTCTGGGTGCCACATTTCAGGAAAGATGTGGACAAATCGGGTAATGTCCAGAGAAGAGCAACAAAAATGATTAAAGATCTGGAAAACATGACCTGTGCGGAAGCTTGAAAAAATTGGGTTTGTTTAGTCTGGAGAAGAGAAGATTGAGAGGGGATATGATAACAGTTTTCAAGTACATAAAAAGTTGTTACAAGGAGGAAGGAGAAAAATTGTTCTCTTTAACCTCTGAGGATGGGACAAGAAGAAATGGGCTTAAATTTCAGCAAGGGAGGTTCAGGCTGGACATTAGGAAAAATTTCCTAACTGTCAGGGTTGTTAAGCACTGAAATAAATTGCCTAGGGAGTTTGTGGAATCTGCGTCATTGGAGATTTTTAAGAGCAGGTTAATAATAATATATGGAGATATACCTATCTCATAAAACTGGAAGGGACCCTGAAAGGGCATTGAGTCCAGCCCCCTGC